ATGTAAACAAATATGAATATACAGAAGTTCAGTGATATATTTCAGGGCAAATAAGAGCAACATTGTGACCCTGGGCTCTATTTATTAAGCCTTTCTTGTAGTGTTTGGCACTGCTTCATTCTTTCATACTGTTTTTTTCCCCATTTTTTTCCAGAAGATAAAAGAAAGCCGTACATAATATTTGTAGGTCTCTGCTGAGGTCTTAATGCATCTGGAACTACACCGAAGAAAACACAGATAGAAATCTGGTCCTTTTTGGGCTCTATTTAACTATCTCTGAATTAATACTCTGAAACTTTCTTATAGCTTGAGTTTTTATCATGTTAAAAAATAAATACTACATGTTTTCTTAAACACTAGGCTGTTAATACTGAGCAGTTAGATGAACTGAAAAGAATGCTATTTTTCAGGTAGATGACTATTTCCATAGCTAGCTATCTGCAGAAATACAGTGTGTCTGATGCTGCCTGTCCTGTCTCCTCATGATGCACTTTGTGTAGCATCCTGGGACTGGGTTTCGGAAATCTGCTCCTTTCCTGGTATGCGTGCTGCCCTACACATCCCAATAACACAAACAGGAGCTGCCTGCCTGACTCCCTGCACGCTAATGAGTAACAGGATGTTCTTCCCCACCAAGTTCAAAGATTAAAATTTGGGGTTTGGTCTCACTATTATTTTTGTAAAAAGGCATCTTTTGTTACGTTTCCAGAGCTCGGTTATCGTGCTGCGACACTCTGCATCCAGTTCTGATAAGTCGTGGAAAGTTATGATTAGTTAAGCTCCTTATGAATAGAGAAGGCTTCCCTGAAGGTTGAAACTGGCCTCTAACTTGAGATTTTAAATCATTGTTGAAGTGTTTTGACTAGGCTGCCTTTGTGTACACTAAACAGTTTAAGGTTACTTTTTAATCCAGTGGCGCCTGTTTTATGATGTACACTTGCTGCGGATTGAATGTTGTTCTGTTCATCACTGCCAGCTGTCTCCTTGCGATCCTCCAGTAACTAAGTTGTTTTATCTCAGAGGAATGAATTGTCAGTAACAAGCAAATAATAACTTTTCTGCTTAATTCTCAAAATTTTAAAAAACCCTCTTCTTCTGTCATATTTCTCTTATAATGTAAAATGTATTGTGAGGGTTAGTTGCTCTGTTCTTGCACTGTGAGCCTTCAGGAGTTAAATGTTTACAGCATGAGACAAAGGTAGAAGAGGTACATATTGCAGCAGTGTATTCACCACATTCTATGGATATTTTTTAGCTGAAGGAAGTAAGCCCTGGTTATTACAGCTGTCACGGTGACATCTGATACTTCAGTATCAGTGATTTCCTCACCCACCACATGACCCTGATCACTACCATGATTCTCTGTCCACTATTAAACTGGGAAAGGTCTTGGCCCTCCAGGTGCTGTTTCAAGTCTGAAATAGCAACTTGTCTGTCACACTCTCCCTGCCTAACTTATTGCTTAAGGACCCAGCAAACATGTTTAATGCGGGTAGGGTCTCGTGCAGCAACAGAGTCAAGAACGTGTCTGGTGTCTGTTTCATGGCTGATGCAGAACAAGGGCACTGAGTGTGCATGGGTTCTTAAAAAGGAGCAAACTTTGAAGTGAATTTGATACTTAATCTCAACAATTATATTTTTGCACTTCTTTTCTTCTTTTGCGGAGGGAACACGCTTCTTGAAAGTCATGAGAGGTATCTTGAAATTTCACAAAGGAATGGGGGCGTATAATAGCTTGATAATTTCCATGAATCAAAACTGGAAAAATTTAAAAATATTGTCATACAAAAATTCAGATCGAAAGCAGATCTTTACTGAATTAGGGAATAATATGAGCTAACAAGCAAAACTATTTCATGGAAATATAGTTAAAAAAATCTAAAGATCTAAACCAAATGCCAAAATTAGCTTCCCATGATGCACCTTTTTCTCTCTTTATTATGTACCTTACTTATGGTAAGATTAATTTAAAAGTTGCTTAACCTAGGCAACATGAAAGACTTAGGCAGTGGACTTCTCTATGCAAATAGATAAGGCTTATCAGGCCTACCTAATTTTTAGGAATGAGGCATTGGAAAAGATTCTGTACTTAAGATAACAGAGCTTGCCCAACTGGCTATTGCATTGTACATTGTGCAAGCTTTGATACAGTGGTTGTCAGATGTTTCCAGCCTTTTTTTCGCCCTGTATTGGTAAATTCATGTAAATTGGTATGTGAGGCTTGACAATCAAGAACCAGGGTTTCTATACTGAAATTCATCTGCATCTAGATTGAACCAGAGTTTATGTAGATGCAATGCCAGAGTAATAAAGAGGTTGGATAACCAGCCTCTGTAATTTTTTGAGTTATTTCAGCTTCTTAAATATAGTTTTGCAACACTGTGGGTTTTTTGGTGTGGTTTTTTTTTTTTTTTTTCGCTTTGATGGATGTACTTGTGAGCATCTGGCCTGCAATTCCTCCTGTAATGCAGAGGGAGAAGCACTTTTGTGCACAGTGCTTCTGGCCACCTTTGTTAAGGCTGAGTTTCTTAGAGGGACCCCCATGATCAGGAACTTCACAAACACCACTGCAGCTGTGTTTTCTTTGAAAGAGAACTATCCACACTTTAATACTCTTTGCAATGTATTGTGGATTGTAGATGCAAATACCATTTTTTATGGCATGAAAAGTCCTCTCTTCATGTTCTGTCAGAAGCATACATCCGTTTGTAATGAAATATATATAATATGTATATATGCTTGTATAGTGTATATTATATATATATAAAGTGACTTCATAGCTCATGTTAAGATAAGGCCATCCTTTAAAAATAAAACCTTACAAAATTTTATATAGCTGTAAACTAAAGTTATGAAGTTATATGTGAAGTTAAAAGGTTATAAATGCAGTTCTGCTTATCTTGGTGGAAAACTGGATCAGAAATTGTCAACAGAGTACTTTTAGAAGAGTTCTGTCATGACTCTGCAGATGGAAAGCAAGATAGACAAGGATTTAGAGCTAATGCAAAGATGCAAAAAGAAAAGGAAGTGTATGTCTTTTCCTCAGAGAAAACCATAAAAAGAAATGTAAATAGCGGGAAAATTAAGGTGTGTCCACTGTGAGCATGTGTTTGACTTTAACTTGTAACAGGCAGGGCTTTGGTCTCTGTTAAATGAAAAACTGGACTTCTGTTGATTAAGGGGCACATATCAAGCCAACTGGATTGGACAAAAACTTGTTGCCCTTTTATGGAATATCCATAATGACTGAATGTTCTCTGTGCATCCTTGATCCATTTGGTGCCTGCATCTACACTGCTCTTTATACACAATATTTGCTGCAAACAGAGATGTCACACAAACATGACTTTTTGGGGCTAGTGATGGGATTATGTGTTTCTACCAATCTTCCTAAATCACAACACTTAAGGAGAAAAAGCCTTCACTCTTTTAATTTTGTTTTCTTCTAAAATACATAAATAAATGTTGTTAAAATTTGCCAGTCATTTGTCTGTGGACAAACAGTGGGTCTGGTGCTGCCATTAGCAGTTTAGGGATGAAAGGATTTGAGTGTTGTGCTCTCTGGAGTATAACTCTGTGCTTGTTCATTTTCACTTATGAGATTTGCATGTGCAAAGCCTTGGTCTTCACTGTGCTCATAAGTTTTCCACAGTGATTATGACTAGGGTCCTTAAATGATACTGTAATTACCATTATTCATAGTAATGTCTTATTAGTAATAATTACTAATAATCTTGATAATCCCCTGAGGAAAAATACTGTAGGTTGAAAGCCAGAGATGGAGTCATTATAATGAAGAGAGACTCACTCCTTGTGTCCCTCTTGTAGTAAAATAATTTATTCCCAGCTTTTTTGGGGGTGATGAAGAGATTTCTGAAGAGAATTCTCTCAAAATGACCCTCTGTGCCCACCTGAAAGGCCCCAAAAATTAAAAGTGGAAGAACAATCAGGCTTCTGCTCTGATTGCTGTGAATAATTCAAGCAGCAAATATAGTATATCCAATCTTCTGTCTCTCCTTCACTTCTTCTTCATCTTAATTTTCATGGTCTTCTCTGTTTCCATGAGGCTATAGTATGTGGTAGACAAAAAGTACAGTATTTATAGCTTCGTAGACAACATCTTCCCAGAAAATTTTCAGAAAACCTCCTTCTCACGGGATCTGCTGCCAAATATGTATTGGTTTTATATTCTTAAATTCGCTTTTAAAAAATGTGCACAAAGCTCTGACTGTGTTTATCTGTGGCTTTAAAAGAACAATAATCAAAACGAACAGCACTCCATGATCATTTAATCTTCAGACCCAGTAACAAAATTCTTACTCATTTATACAAGTCCACCTCTATCCAGTGGTTTGTCCCACGTATACAAAATGTGCCTGCAGCCCTTGGCATCATGAAGAGCAGAGAGAGGAATATTTCCCATTGGCTGGGCAGGCTCCGTGCAGATGAAGTAACGCAATCCTGAACGGTGTGCTCAGGTTTTTTCAATAAAGGTTTTTCGTCACTACAGAGCTTTATATAACAGCAGTAAAGGCAAGAAAGGAAATTAGAAACACAGCTGAGACTGCATCTCATACTTAATAATGGCCTAAAATTCTTACTGTTTATTAAAACTAACACCCCTTGTCAGGGTGTTGATCAAAAATTCTCTGCAGTCTCTTTTCTTTGATCTTTTCATTTTACAAACCATAGATATTTGTTGCCATTTCCTCACTTAGTTTTATGTCTAAAACCTTGAAACTCAAAGCTGCTTTCCAATAATCTTGCATGATAAGGAGTAATCCTGAATTCATTGATCCAGCAAACTCATCACTGAAAAAAATTGTCCACTCACAAAGGAGGGAGAATTTTGGTGTTACACAAACAGAAATGGTCAAAGGTGGCACTAAAATGGATGTTTTAAAAACCCTGTAATCTCTATGAGCCTTGTGCTTGTACTGCTATCCGGTCAGAGTATGGACATAACCTATTCTAATATACACATTTACCTTTTGTTTCAGCAGCTCCCTGGCTCCTGCACATGCAAAACATTTGAATTTCCTGTTGGCTCAGAGGTGAGATTTATAACATTTATTAAAGTTGCTTTTCGCTGTGAGTTTACTGGGCAGAAAGCCTAAGAGAACCTTTTTTTTAAGGGGGTTTAATTGCTTGAATTTACCAGAGGGGTGAACATTATGCTTTCTTGCAGCACTACTATCCACTAAGATTTCCAGGTGTTGAATTTCCCTAGAGGTTCCCTATTTATTGAAGGAATTTATGAAACATCCATCTATTCAGAGCCGGAGCTCCTACCATCTCTTTCCCATCCATTGTCTTGACTTTGTTTCCTTCATGGCTGCTTTTGAATTTCTTGATTGATCCTGTTCATTTCTGTCCATTCCTCTCCATAAATGTCCTCCCTCCTCTCTGCTTGAGCACCTTGGCCATTACAGATGGCCAGACTTCCTCAGAACTGAATGTGCCTGAAAGCTTTTTGCTGTGAAGTGGCTGCTGGTGCAGAGGGACAATTCAGTGCTGGAAGGACACTGGTGCTTGTTAGCATGGTGGGATGGAAGATGAACAGAGCACAAAGAAAGGGCAAGAAGTATTTTGCAATGTTTAAAGTAAAAACCTATAAATAGCCCTTTAAAATCCATGAACGGACTTCTCAACAGATGGCAACCCTACTGTCAAGCGGGCCCAAGGCAGGCAGACCATAATTGTTAGCAAGTGTATTGTTAAGGGAATTTACTCATTTACTGATGCAGCAGCTGCTTCAGTTGAAGAATAAATTGGAATATTTTGGTGCATTTCCTTTAAAAGTCATCCACTTTTAAGTCTATGTATTAAAATTACATAGTCTTAAATGGGGGTCTCCTTTGCTAAACAAAAGATATGTAAATTACATTTCAAGATTTATATTATGATAAAAACTGAAACACAAAAGAGACATTATCTTGCAGAAATGTAAAAGTACATTGCTTCATGAGTCTATAATGATATAATGTGATGTTGATGTAGTTAAAGATGTCAGAAGGGAGACAATGACCTTAAAAGTTTGAGGCAGACACATTAATATTGATTGATTTTTAAGAGATTAAACAGCAAGAATATATCTATACATAGCCTGGATATTGGATTGTTTGAAAATTTGAGATGAGATACAGAACATTTTGGTCTTGTAATGCTTTAGACGTAGTAGCAAGAACATGCTTTAAATGCAGCCGTTTGTCCTACAAGAAACTGGGTGATGATTTGCCTTGAATTTATCAGACTGTGAACTATTTCTTGTAGAAACCAGCAGTGTTTGACAAAGCTGGGTGATTATTTCTGGCTTAAGCACAAACACTGGTCTGTCATAGGAAATGTCATAAAAGTCCTAATGTAGGTTTTCCTGTTTGTTTGTTTGTTTGTTTGTTCCATATCTATGTACACCTGTATGGAGTCTTACAACTATCTGATATACACACACATACACACATTCCTATAATATATTGAGCACTGTAAAACCTCAGCACTTTCTGACCTTGAACCAAATAATGTGACTGCACATCAATCATGTCGTTTGTTTTTCCTATTTTTTTCACAGAATTGCAGCATCACAGAATAGGCCAAGTTGGAAGAGACCCACAAGGATCATCGAGTCCAACTCCTGCCCCTGCCCAAGACCGTCCCCCAGAGTCACACCAGGTGCCTGAAAGTATTGTCCAAACACTTCTTGAACTCTGTTGGGCTTGGTGCTGTGACAACCTCTCTGGGAAGACTTTTCTAACACCCAACCACTCTCTGGGTGAAGAACCACTTTCTAGTATCCAACTTAAACCTCCCTGGCACAACTTCAGGCCGTTCTGTTGGGTCCAGTCACTGGTCACCACAGAGAAGAGGTCAGTGTCTGCCCCTCTTGTTCCCCTCACAAGGAAGTTGTAGCTGCAATGAGGTCTCCCCTCCGTCTCCTCTTCTCCAGGCTGCACAAAGTGACTTCAGCTGTTCATCATATGACTTCCCCTCAAGGCCCTTCCTCATCTTTGTTGACCTCCTTTGGATGCTCTCTAATAGCTTAATATCTTCTTGTTTAAGTAAGTTTAGGCTCATTCTTATATCCATGCTTATGCCAGAAAAGTCATAAAGAAATGTGCTTCTCATTGAGGGGAAAGGTGCTAAATATTGTGGTATTTGTTATTCCCTTGGGGCAGTTCATTTTATCATCTCAGGTTGATGGAAGTTTCATCTCATTCACAGATGAACTGTGCTCTTAATGAGACTTCCCCTAGCTAAACAAATGAGGGTGTTGTCCATGGTTGACCCTTTAGACTTTTAGGAACCAGGACTCCAACTTGCAAGAGAGAACAGGTGTGACCTGTATGACTTGGACCATCTTGCTGAGAAGAGGTCCTGAAGCATTGTACAAGCTGGAGATTTTCATTCAGAATCAGATCTCACAAAGCATGAGGCAGATAAATCAAGGGGTAGATCACATTTATAGAGAGCTTTTTTTTTAATATCACTTTCCAATGAATCATTAGTCTTTTACCTTTTTCTCCCCACATAGGAAGGGATAGAATATCAATATCTGAAGGAAAGAGGACAGCTAGGAACCTGGACTTCAGTGCAGATATTTTACATAATAGAGAATTGTAGTTTTCCAAGAAGCAAAGACAAGAAAATTTATCGTGTGGCCTCTTTGCCTCCAGATTCAATTTTTTTAAAAATAGAAAAAGACAGATACTTTTTGGTAGAAGTATGAAAAAGCAAAGGGTCTGAGGGTCATAAGTGCATCCTGTTTCACCAACAGTAAAACCTGCTTTGACCCTCCATTATAAGAAAATAGCCCAAACAGCCTGTTTAGTAAAACAGAGAAAACACAGTGTCTCCAAAGGGCCTGGCCTAAGTGAGCATCCAGAATCCCAGCAAGCCAAGAAATGAAGGCAGTCAGACTTGATTAAATTATTTTTTACTACAAATCTCATTTCAGAGAATGATTAACGGGAGAAGAGACATAAATGGCAAAGTCTTGATCAAAGGAGCTGCTGTCAGGGTACCATCTAGATAAATCAGGAAAAGAATGCTCAGGTTTCTGTGAAAGAAGACTAATGACATTAAGTCAAGATGAAATAGAAAGAAGTAGCAGTGCAGGCTGAAATAAAAGACTAGCCTGTCTTGACAAGAAGCCCTGAGAAATTTCCTGAACTGAAAAGTAACTGGAATTGGAAAGGAATGATTTTCTATAAGTGCCGGGTCTTGAAGTTATTCAGGACATCCTGATGACCCAGTAATGAAATTTGCTTTTTGGAACATGTCAAGACAAGTGAAAGAATCCTCTGGAAGCACCTGAAACAGCAGTTGTTGGTATCAGCTCTACACACTGCAGCTGTTCTGAATCTCATGTGCTCACTCTATCCAACGGGATCAGCCCTTTCACTTAAAGTCTGAAACAGTCCCACCTGGAGGCAAGCAGACAGAGGATAAAAGGAGAGTGTGAAACCAACAGCCAGCTAATGTTTATGTAACTTTGAGAACCTGTTTACAAGAAAGTAGGAATGGTAATCTCCTGGAGGAAACAGTGGCCCTAACTGAAATCTTGGGAAAACTTTAAAAGTGATCTGAAGGTACCTGTGCAAAACAAAGGTTTCTCAGAAGGTAAGACTTTGTCTTTAGGTATACTAAAAAGGATTTCAAGGAAGTAAATTTAAAAAAAAAAACCCAAACCTGTTTCAGTGGTACAAGTGTACTCCTGGAAGTCCAGTGTTTAAACCAAAATAAGATGCCCCATTTCTCAGGAAACGTTAAATTGTTGTTTCAAGTACTGGCTTAGTTTTCTAAGAAACATTAGTGTTCCTAGCTAGAGGAGCAGATCTTCCATTAGAAATTCCTTGCCTCAGATTTAGATTATAACATAGAGTACGTTTCTACAGACAAGCACTTAGTGTGATCAGTACTAAAACTGTATGAGATTAGCTAATGTACTTTTCTGTGATGTGCAAAGTGAATGCCAGGACGCCCCATTGTACCTGACTGCAGTAGCATGAAGTTATGCTTCAGCAGCCTTCCATTGTAACGTAGGATTCTGAAGGCAGGGAAGCAGTCTCTGGGGTGTTGCACATCAGCAAGAAATTATTTTTGAAAGTAGGAAATAAAGATGAGTTTGAACTGATGGTTAGAACAAATAAATGGGAGCAGCAGAACTTTTTGTAGTGGCATTGTACGCCGTCATAGAACAATAGCTAAATGAAGCATGTGTTTAAAATTTGGTGAGAAGCTTTTGTACGTTTTAGTTCTGTTTGGCTCAGCGGGTGTGCTGCACTTTAGACTTCAGTCTCCAGAGCTGTCAATCCAACAACTTTCACAAATGCTATATTCACTTAAAAGCTGAAAGAGGAAAATAGAAGGAGATGATGTTAATAGCACTTAGCACTTATACAGCTTTCCTTCCTAAAAGTACAGTGCAAACATGAGATAATTAACAAGTACTTTGTCTTGGAGATACAAATGTGTATCTAAACAACCTTTAAGCATAGAGAATACAGACATCTAAGGCCAACCTATGCCCAAATGCACATTTTCAAGTGCAAATATTGCGAAGTGATATTTATGGTATCATTTCTCTGTGTAATCAATCAGTAAGTCCAGCTTGTGGAAACCAACAGAGCATATTTCTGCATGCAGGGCTCCTTCATTGTGTGAAGAACTTAATGTAATGATTTCAGATGTTACTTGATGAAGTGCCTCATATAGGTAACCACTAGAAAGTTCTATAAGGGAGTGGGTTCTTTGAGTCAAAATATGCCATTTGGTTGCAAAGATGCACCAGTTATTCAAACAGCCTCTGTAGCAATCCTGCTGTGCCCACTTCTCTCCACCAGCTCCAGCATCTACCCACCTGGTATTAGGTAATCTGAATATGTGGCACAGTGTCTTGTACTCTTGGACAGATAGTTATCCATTTATCTGCTTGCTTAGAAGGTTCAAAATCTTAAAAGTAGAGAACCAGAAAAGAGAGGTTCAGGTGGCACTGGGAGAAGGGAAATCCTTTCAAGAAGAAAAAGGGACAGATAAAACTATGAGTCTCAGACTTAACAGTTTTCTAGAAATGAGAGAAAAATGTCTGCAACTATGATGTGTTCTCAGTGTACTTTTTTCTGGTTAAAGTAAAAGTTGAGTGGTGTTTGCAGAGCTAGAAGTAGAGTCATAAGTCAATTTGTTAATTAAAGAGTTCTGAGCTCTGGAGCTACCAAGGGCTATCTGCAGATCAGCCAGGATGCAGAGCAAGTCTCTTGGGGGAATTGTCTGTTTCACTCTCCTCTTCATTCTCAGGCCATTATGACTTTAAAATGGCAAATCTGTCAATTTTGCAATTTCCTCCAGTAATAGAGTTTTGGCAGAAGCTGATGCCTGTGCTGTACTGTACTCGTGCACAGTTAGGTAACCCCAGTGCATGCTCCATTTGAGAGAGGCACAAAAAGCTTCTCAAAGTTACTGCATTATAGTCTCTCTCTCAGTGCTGAGCTCAGCTGCTGAGAGCAGAGGAGGTGTGAAAAGGCTTGTTAATAAAAGTCTGTTTAGATTTCATTACTGTGAGCAGCCAAAGCAAGACAATACAGACCTTGCCAACCCTCTGAGAATTTCAGTCTTCTCTGGAAATACTTTCTTTCCTGCACTGGATACCTTTCCCAGTTGAACATTTATGCAGTGCAAGCAGAGCTCTCCTCTGCCACCTTTGAAGAATAGAGAGAATGGAGACTGCCTTCCTTTTGTAGAGAATGGAACAGGAAAGATGAAGGAAGGGGCCTAATCAGCCACACCAAAGAAGAAGCCTCCAGCTCAGCGTTCATTTTTCAGCCTTCTATTTCCCCCTCATTTTCTTTTTAAAACTAAAACAGGGAACTCCTTTGGGAGTTGACTGGCATGGAAGATGGACTAGGTGTGGCACTCTGGTACACTGGTGTTGCAAAAATGTCAAAAGCATTGGGAAGGGGCACCACTCACTGATTGGCCCATGGGTTGATCATGTTCGACTCACAGCTGGGGTTTGGGGAAGCCGTGTATTAGCACGTGCTTTTGGGTTGTGCCAAAAGCATTTCATTGGCTAGATCCAGAGGACCTTCCTACCAAGGTTAACTGGAACAGAGGTGCAATGAACCACAAAAACTCTAAAAAAAATATTAATTTCGTCTTCTTCACAATGGCTCTGGCCTCTGAGCAGTGAAATAAAAGTTAGAGTTTCTGAACAAAAGCTGTAGGTATGGAGGGATCTTTGGCTACATGACCAGCCCTAGTCTTTAACCAATTTGAGGACTTTAGTGATGTTTTTCAGATTACTATGAAAGAAAAATTCTAACCTGTGGCAGACTTGGCATGCAGTGTGGACAGGCTTTTTTTTACCCCCAGATGATTAAACCTCTTCTTTAATCACAGTGTTTTCACTTTGTTGTGGTCTTTTTAATGTTCTGCAAGTCTTAGATATTTATTAAAGTTTTTTCATGCTTAACTCTTGATGAAAGCAGATACAGACCTCCTAACCATAAATGCTACTGTTCCTCTCTCTGTCAGCATAAACAATTACCTGAATATACTGAATATATATATATATACACACACATACACACACACACACACGTCAAAACCCAACTAGTAATAAATGACATGAAGTAGTTACTGGGAAGTTGAGCCAGTCAAGTTCACCATATATTCCACTGTGTTGAACTTTCATTATAAATTCAAAGTAAATTACAAAGGTTAATAAAATCTTATTTCATTTTTCTTTTTACTTGTCCACTTGTATTTTCTAAATAAGTCTCAAATTTAAATGATTAATGACCTAACTTAATCAGAAGAAAACTTATTCACAGAAGAACATGTTTTAAATAACACATTTCCATATACATATTTTGCATCATTACTGAGTGATAACCTAATATGGTTAATTAGTACCTTTCTCCCTAGTATAACTTATTTGTCATCAGGAGTAGAATTTAGTCCTTTTCATCTTGTATTATGTCATGACTTTTGGTGTTGTGTTTAGTGCTTGTAGTACCTCACCCTTTCAGGAGATCCAGAAGGGTGATATTTTATTTATTCCATCATTGCAATCTTTTCTGTAGAGTTACTTAACAAAAGCATTTTGTTACCTGGAGTGGTTAGTGGCGTAGTCACTGGAGTCAATGTGACTTTCACAATTGATTTCAATGAGAAGAGGACTGTGTTGACTGTGACTGTGTCACCCCAGTGAAAGATGAACATTGTGCCCTTTTAAGTAGCATATCACACCTATGTTTTTAAGAGATCACCTGTAAAAATGCCTTGGAAAAGGAGGGGATGAGAGTTGTCTGTTAGTGCAAACCTTACCTTCTCAGTTCTGTTTCTACTTGCAGGAGAAAAATACAAAATGTAAGGCATATTAATAATTAAGGTATATTAATATTTATCCAAACTGTCTTCTGATGCATTGCCTTTCTGATGCTACATGGTGTTCTCCTGCACTGTTTCTCAGCAAGATGGCTAATGTCCTGCTCTGAAAATTATCCATTAAAATTTTATCAATTTTGTGTTTTGGTGAGACAGTATGAGGAAATGCCACTGGAAAATTAGATTCCTCTTTGACATCGGGCGCCTAGTCAGCAATCCAATCCCATGTGTTTCTACTGAGACATTAGGATTTGATATAATTTTGGGCAGAAAACATTTTAAAATGAAACAATTGAATTTTCTAGATGGTCTTGGGGACCACTTAGCATAAGAGAATACACTTCCAAATCAAAAGCCTTTCAATCATTCTAAATATTATTTGGATGATATTTGCTTTATGTGTAGTAGCAGTTTGAATTTGTATTGAATGTTTGACTGGCTCGTGCTCACATAGATGATGTATGAAATTATTATTTCATATTTTTCTAGTGTTTGCATTGCAAGTGACATCTGGCTGACAGGAAGCTGGAGAAATGGGATATGAAGTGAATGCTGCAGTTACCACGGTATCATATTTATCAAAAGGCTTAAGGTTGGTCTGTCTTTGTTTAACATGTGAAACTAACAGCAATGAATAAGAAACAGCACTTTTTTCTTTTTTTTAACTGAGCTGCTTAGAAAATGAAAATAGATGAAGAAAAATTGTTAATGGTATTCAGTTGAATGAATTAATTTATGTTGACAGTCATGCATACTGGGTGAAAGACAGTTCTCAGCTTATATGGAGAGGTTGGTTTTGTTGCTATTATGCCTTTAGATTTTGGTTAATGTTGTTCATACATACTGTATCACACAAATAGGGAAGTCTGGAATAAGCTACTGTAGCAGACTGGCACAGTTATTTTTAAAATTAAAATGTTCAGCTACACAAGTTTAAGGGTGAGTTTAATTCTAATTGCATTATAACTTTGAAATATACCTGTTGAAACCCTTTCTTTAACCAAACTCTTACCCCTAACACATTTTCATTAAGCTCTTGATGTGTCACTTGTCTAATAGTAAATTGTTTCTTCACTAGAATACAGGTTTTAAAAATTATTCTATTATTTTACAATTTGAAATGTTGTATGAAAATTTATGATTCTTTAGAAATATGACTTCATCCTTTAAAAAAGGCATTTTAAAAGTGCATGTAGTTTGGGAGGAAGCTCTGCTCTTGTGTTACAGAACAAAACCAAAAGTGATACAGTGAAGTGTCCGGCTTCTGCCATGCCCTGGCTTCTCCTCTGACTAGAAGTGTCCCTTGGACACTTTTTGTCACTGCCTTGCTATCTTTCTTACTTGCTGGCTATGAAGACTGTGGAATCTGTGTGAAGAAAACCCACCCCTAGAAAGCTAGTTTATTATTTCCCAGCTATCCTGGAAGGAAGGAATTTTGGGGCTGTATGGACATGTTGCTCAGAAGAGAAAAGAAGAGGTTGTACGGGGGTAGTGGCGTGGGTAGAACAGACCAGGAAGGGAAGAGTCTGCCTGAGAAAGACAGATGTGGGACTAAGTAATCCAAAAGTAATTGCATCTGTACTTGTGCCAAGTGATTTTTCTGATCTATGAAGTTATCAAACTGAGAGTATTCAGCATCTTCCAGAACTTGAGCCCTTCCTTTTAAATAAATAGAAAATCCAGCTGTGTGGCCCAATTCACAGGAAGAAAGTACTAACAGTTATTTTTCTTTAAAGTCTGCAATTGCAAGGTCTAGTTGGGAAACTTAAAAAAAAAACAACAAAAAACAAAAAACCAAAACAACAAACCAGAAACAACAAAAGAAAAAAAGATCAAAATTAAAAGAATTGAGGACAAGAAATAAGAAGAAAAACATTCCCAAATTGCTTGAAGAGGTAAATTTTATTCCACTAAGTGAACCTCAAGAACTGCCCATGTGTTTACTGATGGTATAGGGAATTTGCCTGTCCTCCCTTGTTAGACATCAGCAGTGTGAATACCTTCACTCAATTTTTCTCTCTGCTATTGCAAACATCTCCAGTCAATAAAGACTGGACTTATCCTTTGCCATACTTGCCTTTCCTCTTTATTTTCTTGTCAGACAATTGAGCAAAGATCACTGAGCTGTTGATCGCTTCAGACCAGCTAAAAAGAGTATCAGATTAGAGCATTCAGAGCAGTATGTGTTCTGAGTGCAGCATTGACAGAAACAGAAATGATCAGAAAAGCAAAGAGCTGATACTGCAGCACAGTCTGAGGCTGGTTTCCTAAGCACTGCATAGTAGTTCTTTTCAGCAATTCTTTAACCAAGCAGAATTCTGTATATCATTCACTGGAATATGCTTTGCAATTTTAGATCAAGTATTTACCTTAGAGTGGCTTAGGATGTTATGGCAGAGAACTTGTCATGAGGAAACACTAGATACCTTGTCATTTATGAAACAAAAAAAAAGAGTAGGTACTTTTGGAGCCTTTCTGAATGGGTACTATTCACTGTTGCAAGTCCCGTGTGCTTGGATGGTTTGTTGTAGATGGATTATTATAAAACATAGTTTGCTTACCCATTTTCCATGTTATTTACTCTTACCAAATATGACACCTTTTCTTGGGTTCCTTTAAAGCTCAAGGGAAGGGATAGTGATTGTCCCTAAAGCATGTTACTTTTTGCAATGAATATATTCAAACTCTGCTTGTGGGAGAGGTGGACTGGGTGGGCCACGGCCCCTATCTGAAATTTTTACTTACTGTGTCTTTTCTTTCTAGCAGAGTGATTCGTATACAGACACACACATGGTATCTTGAACCCCTTTTAAACAAGTTTGCAAGTGCTACTGCCCCCTGTTGAGCTAAAATCACAGAAGTCTTCAATATATTTTTTTCACTTTTATTCAGCTTTGTGTGTTGTATTGTGCTACGTAGTATTCTGTCTCTGCTTTGTGACATGTGAAACAAAGCTGTTCTATTTTCTTAACCAATGTTATTTATGCTCTGTGCTGATGTACACGTCTACTTTTCTGTCTACCTAGCCACACACTTAGATTTTATCAGCTGCTGGTTAAGATTGCTAGACTTCCTCTATGCCAACACAAACAAAGAGTGAGGAAATAAGTGGTTAAGTAATTCAGCACCCCATTTGCACTACTCTCATCAGCTCTCTTTCTCAATCTCAACTAGCTCACTTCCAGTGACCACAGTCAGTGCTGTTTCCAACTTCATCCTGATCACATTAGTTTCTTCTGTCTGCTATTCGAGGCAATGTTTCTTTGGTCTGCTCCATGATTTTACACTTTATCTTGAATATTTGTACCCCAAACTAAGACATCATCATTAATTAAAAATTAGCAAGAGTCTGTAGATGATGGGTTTTTGATAGGTTGCAAGTTAAGAACTGAGGGTCTGCGAAACACTTCATTGCATTCTTTAATATTGTCCTTTGTGTGCTGAGTAGTGAAGCCATGCTGCTTCTTAGCAGTTTGCATTTACAGTCTGTTTCACAGAACAAGAGTGGGTCAGACTTCCTCTATTGCTCTTTTGAACTTTCCTCAGCCTGTGGGGAAAACCAGATTGGTGAAAGGTCTGATCCCTTTGAAAGAGGAATCTCGACACTTAATTCTGTGGGGGTGAAGATGAAAGTGAATGGATGATACTCACTGTAAACAACCTTTGCTTTTCAAGAGGAGAGTAGGAGCACCTACATATGCTACAGGAACTGAGTTCTCTAGATCATGTTCATGTCAGTTGAAGTACTTGCAAGTGAATTTTGAGGCAATTTTAAGGAGTGATTTGTATATATAATAAGAACCAGAGAAGAAGTATTCACTTTTTGTTTAACAACTAGAACTAGTATTAGCTGTGATAGACTTATGAACTGCCTGAGACATTTCAATACAATAGCAGACACTGAATGCATTTTTATTTAATGTTTGCTTGGCAAAACACAGCAGGAAGGGGGAAAAGAAGGCAAATGGACATAAGCACACAGACAAAGCCGTGAAGCTGAGGTTTTTCCCTCCTCTGTTTTCCCTCTTCTATTCCCAGTTCTTACCTCTGGAAAAGTCTTTGGATAAACAGCAATCCTGAGGTAATGTACCATAATAGCAAAAGCTCTCTGAAGAGGGTGGAGTGGAAAAGAAAGGGGAGATCCCATGTTGATAAATAAAGTCATTTCCCTTCAGCTTACCTTCACAAAATTTCAGGGTAGTTTTACAAGAGTGTTGTAGAAAAGAATGTTGCCTGCTTGAAACATTGCTTTCCCTAAAGGCAACACACTAGTGTATTGGAAGATACTTGTCCTCCTAGATGAGAAGAACTTCAATTCTTGGCCATGGACATCCTAGGCTGGACTAAACAAAAAGTGTGGAAAGACTTTAGAAAGCCGCTTTTACTCTCTGTTATGGCTAAATGCTGTTATGACACATCTGAAGATATTGCTGTTACTGACTGATTTTGGCCTAATCTCTTTAAGGTTTTGATAGAATATTTGCTTTTCCCCCTTTTTATATTAGCTTTGTAAGGTTTGATTTCTGCTTTATAATTGTTTTGCTCCTTTTTTCTTTTTTTTTTTTAGTTATTTTTGTCCATATTAATAAAAATAGACTTGATTTATAAATCTTTGGCTAGCATAAACCTCCCCTGCCTACTTTGCAGGTGATTACATGGCACTCAAAATAAGAAACATGTGTAAATGTGTAAAACTGCCATAATGATGGTAATAGCTGTAAATTCCAATGATAATTTTAGGGATAGAGAAAGTCCTGAGTGTGTGATCCTTCCAGTATGTATGTTGGTATCTGTTCCTTGTCTGTGGACTAATCCTTTTTGAAGCCTTCCATGCAGATCTCATTTGACTCAAAGTTCATCAGTCTGTGCAGCCCCTTAGTAAGAGCTATTTTGAAGTCTAAAATCCTTTAGAAACACTGTTTCACCATCCAAGAAGTTGGCTTTGGCTCACATAGTAGAAACCTGGACACCTCAGAAACACAGTGATCCCATTTCATAGCTAAAATAAAATGGGATTTAGATTGTTATGCCCTGGCCATGTGGTTGGAGGCTGCTAAATTCACATGAGAATGCCTGTCTGTGCTCCTTCTGACAACTCTTTCTACCAGCAATCATTTCAATATAATATATTTTCAAAGTCGTCTTTCCTGGATCAGCTGACTACACTATTTTATCATTTTGTAGGTTTTGTTTCCTTCATGGGTGAATACTTTACCAAATTGCATTTAATATCTATTAAATTGGATTTTAAAATATGAAATGGTTCCGTATCTCATTATCTTGTTCTTCATAATTTGTTACTTCTTTCAATTTGATACCACTGCATACTTAGAACTTGATTTCTTTTCTGTCATCCCATCTGCACACAGGATCCTGACAAGAGTCCTGCCTTCTGAAAGCATAAACTTCCTGGGAGTGACCCTCTTTTCTTGAAGGAGGCATTTCTGTTGCATTTATACTCCTCAGGTAGTTCTTTGCAGATATCCAAATCATTTGTTGTTTACTTTCAGCATGTCAGAACTGCTCTGATGTGTTGGGTTTTTTTACCTAGTTGAGCTTTTACATTCACATTGACTGGCCCGTACTTACCCT